TAAAAAGACGCTGCGAGAAGACAGCGTCGGAATTAGTTCACAAGACGTCGTACTGCTAAGAAGAATTGTAAAAGATTGAAATAAAGACTTGTTAAGTCTGAATCAAGTGGACTCTTCCCCCTGTTCCTGCACATCTCCTGTCCAAAAGAACTCGTTGTGACAATGTAGCACAACAGTTTCTTGAAAAGAAACCAGTTGAAAAGAGAAAATATTTACACAAATATGTGCGGCTGACGTTTACCGAACGATTTTTGTCGAAAGAAAAAATAAAAGAAAACTGAAACTTACACTGTCCGACTCTCCCTCTCGCGGGATTGGGTTTAGGATGCTGACGGCGATGCTTGGATTCCGTCCTCACGACGGAAAACCAATCCAAAAGGCGATTAGCCATTGCGGGCTTGGACGACGGCGGGCAATCGGCGTTTCTGGACGATGACTGCGCGTTGTACAGCGCCTTCAACGGCGACTGGGTCTTGTCCGTGACTTCATTGCTCATCAAATGCTTGTCGTCGTATCTGTTCGCGACAGCAAGACCCTGGTGGTACATGTGTGTAAATACAAACAAGTATTTTTATGCGTATCGCTTTACATACAAAGAATTAATTAAAGAAATTAACAGAGTTAAAATCAATTATTACAGTCAGAATGAGATTTTTTGACACAGTGTGGGGGGCTCGTATTAATTGAAATTAATATCTTAGTGACTATTGAAAATTTTGCAAAATTATACACGAATTTTCTGTTATAATTGAAAATTTCACAGATATCCTATATAACATACACGTATACATACACGTATATACATATTTTTGTATGCAACTCTCTCTCGTAGATTTGATTCCTTTTTTGCGAGTTTAACAAGAATTCAGCAACTTTTTATTCAGAGTCGGTCTATATTTACGTGATGTCCGCCATCGTGCATCGGCAATTCCATCCGTGTAAAATCTATTTCTCTTCGAAGCAATACGTGAATTTCAACTAAGGTTCGCTAAATAAGTTAAAAAAAAAAAAAAAAAAAAAAAAATGAGCGAACGCACGTGCGTGGCGTTTGATTGTACGTAGAATTTCTAGCGATGCGCAGACTAGCGCGTGTGCGGATAGGTAATAATTAATTGCGTTAGCTGCAATCAGTTCGTTAATCAACGCTCTCTACTGTCATTGCCGTTCGGTCGTGCTTACTGACGGCGGGAGCCGTTGAATGATCTCTCGATTGCCAGTTCGTTTAATCATATCGTCGGCCTCTCACTCGCTCACACGCGCATTAAACCTCAATAGCTAGGTCCGATTAATTATAGCCAGACTGACATTGACGCGCGATGTACGTACAAATGATTTGCAATTGATATTTCGCGTAGCTTTGAAAAAAAAAAAAAAAAAAAAAAAACATTCAATCGATATGTCGATCACAGTTTTTGTAACCGCGGCATAACACAATCGTTTTGCTAATTCGAAAATTCAATTTTATCGAGTCGCGAGATTTAATTTTACGACGCCTGGCTTGAAATTTCGCGTCAACTTGTTCACAAGGGAGCCGGTGTCCGAGTGCAATTAATAATTAGGTAACAGCTTGTGCCGGGATTTCCCCGGAATTTCATTTTTAAGTTGGTATACGACGCGTGCGCGTCGTGAGAAAAAAGTATAAAAACAAATTTCTATATTCTCTCGCAAAGTTGCATTCTCGTCTCTTCTTTGTGCAGTTTGCGTCACAAAGCGCAGCGCGTTTCTTATTGTCCTCCCGAACAACGAAACAAATCAAATACTGTCGGTGTATTTGAAACTCGTCGCGTGTGTGCGCGCGCGTTTGTCGAAAGTACTTTAAGTAGAAAAACGTAAAAAGTAAATAACGATTTTAAACACGTTTCGCAATCGAGTAACGGACATTTTGATCGAATTTTTTTGAAATTTTCGAAGGGGGATTAGAACGAAGTTCAAATTGTGTGTTCGTCCTGTCACGAGACTAGGCCAATGAGACAAAAGCCAGCGGAACAGATCGGATCTTTATTGGTTTCGTCTCGCGATGTCACGTGCTCGCGGAAAATCATATTCAATCCTCGCGAAAAAAAAGTTCGTTCTCGAAATCGAAAAAAAAAAAAAAAAAAAAAAAAATTTACGACGACCGGAAGCAGTTTTTATTCCTGAGGATCCCGAAGTAATCCCCGGTCTATATATGCATTTCTTATTAAGCCGTAATCTAGAGAGGGTTCAAAATAAAGATTGATCCTCTCCTCTCTCGTCTCTCTTTTCCTTTCATTTTCGCACTATATAAAAGAAATGGAGAAATCCGAATGTCGGGTTCTTTACGACGTAGACGAGTATCCCTCGAGCGCCGCGGCTCGCCGTTTCTTTGGTCGACCTTTACCCCCATGGCGCTCTCTCTCTCTCTCTCTCTCTCTCTCTCTCTCTCTCTCTCTCTCTCTCTCTCTCTTCCCCTTTCTCGTTTTCGAGCAGCCCCAGACGAAGCGTCTTTCCATCGATCGAGGGGTAAAGCGCGTCGCCAGACGAGGAACTGTATAATAATGTTACCTTGCGCGAACACGCCGCGCCAAGACTCTCTTCGCTACGCTCGAGTGACACGTCTCGTCTCGTCGTCATGTATCGACGTGGTACTCTCCACGCGGTTAACTCAATCCGGTCCAACGATAGTCAGGGATCGGACAAATTACATTTTGCCGAGTTCACGCGCAACGATGTAACATTCGAATCCTATAAATTGCACGTTGCGTGTATGAACTTTTCTCTTAATGTTTGATCGATGGGAAATATCTGTGTGGCCCTGAAGAATATTTCACACCAATTAATAAAACACATATCCTGACGGGGGAATTCCTGCACAATCGGAAAACAGCGCGTTGAAGATTTTTGCAAAATAGAGGTTTCACGGGAATTTCTCGCGACAGGAAGGGGGGACGACGTACCTTCTCGCGCACGCGTTCGTCAAAGGACGAGATTTTATCAAGAGCGGTAACTCGCGCGCTTGAAATTCAATATGCAAACGCGCGAGTGCCATGTAAATTACATAGACGATAACAACGCGAGAACTAAGATCGCTTACGTGCAATGCGCGCGTAATAAGTTAATTCAACATTGACACGGAGCAGTGAGGCTTCAACTCTCGATATTCACGCCCGAGCAAATGTTACAAAGCGCGCGGAAGAGATGATGATGTAACTGACTATCGCGCGGAGACTGCGGCTGAAATATATCTCTCGCACAACTTGCGAAATCAATTCTCGCCGGGTCAGAAGCAGGCACAACGGGACGCATTTAGCGCTCACGCGCGCAACAACAAGCTTGAGCTCGTCGTGCTCTTATCGTCTCGCTCGATTTTTGTCACCCGAGCAGGCAGAAGAAACGGGACTTTTATGCAGCGAGTTTTTTACGTAACGCTAATCTCGAAACTCTAAGTTCCCGAGTCTATTAACTCCCGACCCCGGATCGTCCGCAGCTGCGGATCGTCCGTTGCTAATGACCTTTCCCGTCTTGCGTGCGCAATTTTAAACGTCCGCATGGGACGAACGACTAATCCGGAATACAAGCGCGATAATTAACACGCGTTTCGATAACAGCCGCGGCTTCGCTAATCGCAATCTAGCCGAAATTTCTGCCGTTCGCGTTCTGCTCGGTTTCGATCGACTTGCGTGAAATTTGAATGAATTCAAATCGGAGAGCGAATCACAAACACCTTTCTCTTCTTATCGCAACGATCGAACTGAGAGTCAAATCAAACGGGTGTTTTCGTACCGACGCGGTTTTTGAAATAGGAAAATAATGTACAACCAATCGAATTATTACAAATATCGTTAAAATGTTGCTAATTTGCCGAATGAATTTGCGGAATGCAATAACAAAACGTAACGAATGTACGTGTATAAGAGATAGTGCACATTCATATATTTCATTAAATATACTATTACGCAATAATAATAATAATAATATAAAATTTCGATATGCTGATAATATTCGTATACAATCTACAGTACATATAATCCGCGTATTTGTTCCGAGCGATTATTCCGATGGCATATTGAAGTATATTGACAAGAGAGAGAGAGAGAGAGAGAGAGAGAGAGAGAGAGCTATTTTATATTAAAATGATGTCTCGGAACGCGGAGAGATAATAATATTATCACGCGGCGTAATATTTTCGATGGTCATTGAAAGCGCAGATTAAATCTGCTTTATAACCCGAAAGGCGACGGAAACAAAAAATTGATATGAAATTATTACGACGGGAAAAAAGTGCACAGGCCTGACGTACTTACTTTTTCGATATTTTCTACAAATGTAATATTGATAAAAAAAAAAAAGTAAAATATGTTATTGCACAGTATATGTCGTACGACATTAATGTCATACCAAAAGATATTGTAATATGTATTTAATAATACACTAAATACATATCTTTTTTGTCTATCCATCTATCGATCCACAGCTTTAATACACGTACAGTGAGACACGATTGCGCTGTCACGACAATGTAACACACGAAATGATGAATATGCGATCGTTATCGTCAACATCGGAATTTCGATTAGCACGCACCGCGAATCGAGATAAGCGTCGTCACGACGACAAGGCGCGTCGCGACGCTTTTATCGAGATCGGCGAAAGTGGCACACGCGAGAGGGGGAGGAGAAGGAAAGACATCTAAGAGCGGAATAATATTTTTACGACGCGTGCTCGTCGTAAGAGAGAGCAAAAAAAAAAACAGTGTCCAAATATTTAGACTTACTCGGCTTGATAATTCGAAGGGGGAAGAGAGATCTTTGTCGATGTGAGGAGACACAGACTACCAAAGAATTTTTCTAACACCCTCGTCCTCCCTCGTTCTCTCTTCTCGGAACGGAGGATATTTTATTTAGCGTCAGACTCTTTAACTTTTACCATCGACGAAACTTCCGAAATGGGGGATGACGCTCGAGATGCATTATCCGAAGCGTTTCCACGGGCGCATGTACACACTGCGGTGTACATAAAGCGCAGTAAAACTATATACAGTATATATATATACATACAGGATATAGTTCAAAGTAAATAAGATTGTGTGTCGCGCGCGCGAGACACACACGCACATACGCACGCACGCACGCACACACATAAGTAATCGCAATTAATTAAGAGAAACCTAACGGGGGGAACGAGTTAATTCGCGATTTCCATTAGCCGGCGGCTATTGAAGCGAGGCAGATTTACGGTCTCTCCCTTTTGGCGTCTCGTATTTTTCTTCCATTAAAAGCGATTTCTCTTGCTCGGTGTTTTCGCTGCTATTTGCACCAATGGATGTTTTCTCGTCGCTTTTCATCGAGATGTGCGCGCACACACATACACACATCTTTCGTGTAGCCTCATGTACGTACGGCTGGCTATCGCGCGTCCGTCTTCTCGATGCACAAAAAAAAAAAAAAAAAGAGAGAAAAAGGTCCGGCGAATACATTCCGTGCCCATTAATATCGCGGGGACGAATCTCCCTCCGGGGAGCGGCAAATTCATTGAACTCGCGGCAAAAGTTATCCGCTTCGATTGGGGGAGAGTACCAGGCAAAATTAGATTTCAAACTGTATTATATTCCGGTCAAATTCTGCGAAAGTTTCATCTCGAGTGTGTGCGCGCACACACAAACGCACGCACACACAGAGAGTATATATATATACGTGGCGTATACGCGCTGCGCGCAAAAATTTCCGGAAGATTCCTATGACAAATTGAAAACGCGACCGAAGGGACGCGATTTGCCAAAGGTTACGCATAAATAACTCTTTTTTCGAGTCCGTACGCGTCGCCGCGCGTAAATCCACAGAAGGGAAGAATTTATTTTCGCAGGGCAAAAACGTCCGTCGCGATGCCATGTTTATTTGCAAACGCGAGTTTAAAATTGCGTTTCCGCGGCCGGAGTAAATGGTCGAGGTTAACGGCTACCCGAAATTTAATTCACGAGATCGCCAAACGGATATATGTGTGTATAGATATATATATATGTGTGTGTACACGTACACATACACACACGTACGCGCGTTCGATTCGTATATCGGCCGGCGTGCATTTGCATCGGCGTGTACCAATAATTGGGCGCACGGCGCGACGCGCGAACCAAATAAATTAGACCGCTTTAGTACGGCCTCTCGTATCGGCTGTAACGTGGCGGATCGCTATTAAAATAATGCCGGTCAATCGACCGCGTTCGATCCGATCGATTTGTCACTGCGAGTTTTCTCGCAAAATTTCTCATCCATCTCCTCTCTTTCCCTCCCAGTGTGTGTGCGCGCATCACAATGCAATTCTATTTTTACGCGCGCAAGTAGTTTAGACGGAACACGAGAACTGTTTCAGGAACTGTCGCGTCTGTCGGTTAATATTAATCGCCCGCGACGTCGCTCGATATCTCCTCCTATTGTGATTCATCGAAATCGCATAAAAATATTTCTCTCACATGTCCTTAACTTCACGTAGAAACTTTTGCTTGTATTTTGTTTCCTTCTTACAATTCAATTCTTGTTACCTTAGTTTTATTGTTTTTGTTACATTTTTTTAATCTACTAGCACAACACAGCGCTACGCTGTTGTTTTTATTTTAACGTGTTGTGCCAATAAACTTAACCTGTCACCGCGATGACAGCTAGTATATAAGTCTTACAAACCATATAATACACATGATGTACATATGAGAGATGTCAGAAATAACGCATGAAAATCAAACTCAAAAAATAAAAGGAAAAGGAGAGAATGGAAAACCAACACGTAACTAAAGTCATGTGATAGAGAAAAGAGTAAAAAAGAGAATATTATATATATTATACAATATTCTATATCAATATATAATACACACACACATATCGTAATCACGTGACTACAGTCAGTGACCCTGCCGCGATCGCGCGGCCGAGGTCAGTGATCCCTCCCCACCACGGTCGCGCGACCGAGGTCAGTGCCCTGCCAAGGCCGCGCGGCCGAGGTCAGTGACCCCGCCAAGGCCGCGCGGCCGAGGTCAATGACCCCGCCAAGGCCGCGCGGCCGAGGTCAGTGACATTACTGTAGTATGTATATAATACATATAAAGTATAATATTATTAATATATAATTATAATAAATTATATGTATAATATGTATTATTTAATGTTATATATAATATAAATTACAGTCACGTTATTTTCACGTGTTGTTTTTCTACTCTATCCTGTCATGTGACTTTAGTTACGTTTTTAATTTTCTCTACATATACGACGAACTGTCTCAAAATCGCTTTCATTATTTACTCTCTCGATCTTACCGATTCGATTCGACTCGATCAACCAACCAACCAATCGGCAACGCGGAAAAGAGGCAACAATAGGTGCGATGAATTCGACTCCAAACGCGCACTTGTCGGTCCTTTTTTAATATAGAATTATTTGTTTTCTCTTGTGTAATAAATAAATGAATGCAATTTAAAGATTGAATTAATTTAAAGAGTTTTGCAATTGCACAAAAGACGCCCGACTGATGCGCGATACGTTATCTTGATACGAACATCTCTATGAAACAAAAATCACAAAAATTGTACTCGCGCGATACTTGTAAATATAGCGATATTAGAATGTTGCGCGCGCAAACACAGCTCGGCTAAATTCACGTTTACGGTATATTATATTCTATATTTATCGACGAGCGCGGGGGGAAGGAGGGATGGGGAGAGGTAATGCACGGGATAACAGGATGAAGGATATAGCGGGAGCTGCAGGCGATGGTTGCTACAATATTGGACGTTGCTTTTTAGCACAAGCGGCTACGTTCATAAATTCCCTCGGGGAGATCATAAGATCGCGAGAATGGGAGAAGCGCACTACAAAGAAGGTGAATAATACTCGACGCGACACGCGTAAGTGCTTCGGGGCTGACAATGAGCGAGAATGCTTATTCTCTGTGCACAGGTGTATCTACGATTAAAATAAATACATCTATGTACATATGTTCTGACTGTGTCACAAAAAAAAAAAAAACAAAAAAAAACGAGAGTAACAAAAATCAGAAAATATTTTTTCCAAATGTATGTACGCGTGCACCAGCGACGCGTCTCGAAAACTGCGTTTTATATATATATGTACGTGTGTAGGTAGGTATCAATAAAAGCGCAATGAACCGAAAAACCGTGAATGAAGCGTATCACTTTAGGGGGAGGATGGGGGGCAACGATATTGCCGGCGGACCGGCGGGCGTTCTTTTGTGCAACGGCGAAAAGTGTGTAACACACACGGCACACAAAGTGTATAAAGGGAAAATCGAAATTAAGTCAGGATAATGCAACGTATGCTCTTTTTTTTTTTGCAAAACAAGTTTGCAAAGCGCGTATAAAAATTTCAGCTTCTCTCTCTCTCTCTCTCTCCCTCTCTCGTGTGACGTTAACATTTTCATGTAACATGAAGAGATGAAAAAACAAATATTATTCAAAAGAAAACCTTTTGCGCGTTTTCTTTCAGAATTGTCTGAATACGTATGTTTCGAAAAAAAAAAACCATGTTAATTTCACGCACGACGCGAGTTGAAGAATTCAAGTGTTTTTTTGCTGCAACTCTCGCTTACGTTACAAAGCTTTAAGCAAAGAATGAAATTGTTTTTTTTTTTTTTTTTTTTTTTATCTCTCGTCTTGCGATACGATAATGAGCAATGTCTCTTCTCACAGAGCAACGTGCTTTCTCTGTCTTGTGCGCTCTCGCACTCCGCTGAATTAATTCATTAATATCCGGAACAATTTGAAATTTTTTATTTTACATCGCGCAGCTAATTTATTTGGTTGAATGCGAGACGTTTAATCGCTACTGCCAACCGAGGAAAAAAATTTTCCTTGTTATTATTTTTCTTAATATATTTCAATATTCAACAAAAACCGATTTTCAGCCACAAGAATTTGACAAAGATTTTTTACATCTGGACAAAATTAAGTGTTTTAATATTTCTGCAGTTAAAATAAGAAATCAGAAATCTGTCATTTCGACCGATTGTGATAAACAATTCGAAAAAATCGCGCGAGTAATTTTTTTCTAAAAAAAAATGCTGCTTGCTAACGAGAAAAAGGTTTCGCTGAACTAGCCCATTATCTGTGTGATCTTGCGATTTTCCACGCCGAAAGCAGTGTTTTCTTCAGGTCGGCGAATCGATAATCGCCGACGAACGATAAGGGAGAGAAAACGTATCGGCGGATAGAACGACTCAAGGGAAAAGGGAGAGAAGAAAGAGAGAGGAGAGAGAGAGAGAGAGCGCCGTGCGATTTACACGAAGGATAGGTCTCACTTTATTGTTAGTATCGTAAACGTGATATGTAGACTCTTTATACTCGTAAGAAAAATACACTGTCTGTGCATCCTCTGCTTTGCACACTCCGGAAACAACTCGCGCTCGACCGAAATTCTTTGGCGATTAATTGCGCACTTATCCAGAACTGTCGGCCGTAAATTTCAGAAGCCTGTAAATTTAATCAACAATTTCCAACTTGAACGTCTTTCTGATTTATTTCGAATGAAACATTCTGTGAAAACGAGCTAATAAAACATGTTTGAAGCGATGTAACATCGATTTTCCTCAAAAACAGCAGATTCCACGACCAATAAAAAAATTGCAACATTTTTGACGATCCTTAATTCGGACCCTTCAACAAATTTTGTTTGATATTTTCTGACAAGAGACCGTATAGATGATTCTGAAAAACAAGTTACTGGTAAAATAATCAATATCGAGTTTTTTGAAAATAGATTTAAAAAGAGCCGTTCGAGCATATACCATTTTATACACGAATATATATATATATATATATATATATCTGTGTGTAAAAGAGTTAAAGATAACAAAGGCTATAAAATACGAACTCATGTTCCTCCTTTAAATCGCGCGTACGTGCTATGATTCATTTTTATGGAAATCTACGGCGAAGAAAATGCCCCGTTTCTTTCTTTCTCTCTCGTCGAAAATTGGAATGTTACAAATAAATCACAACGCCGCGACTTCTACGCGATATTTCTCGTGTCGTCTAAATATTTCTCGACACTAGTAAGACGATGCCATCAGTTTCGCTCGTTGAAGAGAGAAATATTCAAAAATCAAGAACAATTACGTATGACACGCGCGTCAGAGAACACGCGACAGATACAAATCACTTATATACATATGTATATATCGCTATGTAGTTCGCGCGTCACGATATGTAATGCACATGTACATCCGATAAGATGTATCGTCTGGCACAAGGAAATATATACATTTCCATTCGAGAGCACGATAAATGTAAAAATATTCTCGCCGTGTCGTTTTCTCCGGTGCGCACGCGAGCTCGAGAAGACGAAGATAAAACCTCACCTTGCCGCGCTTTGTGTACTTGAGGTACTGGTAGTGATGATTGTCGTAATTGAAGTCGCGAGGCGTGAGAGTGATGTCATGGTTGCGGCCCATTTTGTCCATGAGCGTCTTCTTTCTCTGCATCTGCATCTTCTTCGAATACATTCGCAGGTCGGTGACTGCGAGCAAAAAAAAAAAAAAAATTAAATGAAATTTATGCCTGATTAATATACTTTTTCCTCCTCTCCGCGCACACTCAGACATATACACACACACACACACATACACACACTGATTGCAAGTCGCGGGCGAAATTACATTTCGTCTCCTGCTCTTTCCCCTCGCACCCGGCGACGATGCAGCGTCGAAAATACTTGGTTCGTTAGCCCGAATCAACTCGAGCGCGACTGCCGACAAATTGCACGTCAGAAATCGAAAAGCCAACTGCAGTTTTCGACGGCGAGACGCCACTTCCCTTCCCATCCGCACCGAGTGGGATTTTTCCGCGAGGCTTGCACACACGCCAAGTTTTCTCCTCGAACGCGGCACGAGGATGACGACGCGAGTTTCCGATCCCGTCGTCGATTCTCTTCCGTCGGGAAAACAGGCAAATTGTTACACAACCCGATTATGTCGAGAAAAGCTACGAATCGAACAAAGTTCGGATAACAAGCTCTCGAAATCTTTTTTTTTTTTTTTTAACGGCTGAAAACAGCGAGCGAGGATACAAAACACTTATTTCGTCACGCGTTTTCAAACAAATAATACAAAACTTTCAATCTTGACAAAAGAAAAGAATATGACACGCATCTAATAATTTCTGACTTCTTTAATATTTACATACCTATAAATTATTTCTCTAATAAATCCGGTCGCGTTATCTCTTTTTTGTGTCATTTGTAAATTATCATCGCGTCAGAAACACGTAATTTAACTAAAATCTTTACGAATGACTACAAAGCATTTTTTTTCGCGTCGTTTTTTTTGCGGAATTTTTTCGCAGAGAACCTGTTCAACTGCAAACGCGATAGACTTCAACGGCATATATCTAGATAATTGCATCGATATTCGCCACGAACATGTTGTGCGAACTGTTAGATCGTGAAAGCGATAATATCTCATTGTGTCCCACATCATGAGATTTAAAACGCGAATCGCGCGCGCGAGCGACGAACAAATATAATATAATTATATCATCCTCGAAATCAAATCTGATTTTGTGCGAATCAATCAAAGCCACGACGAAAAGAAAACCTATCCAAAATTAATTCCGTCGTTCTGTTGCATATAATACACCGCTGTTGTAAAATTTCGACAACAAAATACACAAATGACTCTATCGAGATTATTCCATAAAGTTTCATTATCGCCTCCTCTTCAACCAACAAGCTAGTAATTTTGAATGATTGAAATCTCGCTCGTGAATTTTTCCATTAGCATCGAAAAGCATTAAGTAAAATTTGCAACGCTCACTTTCTCCTCGAATTAACAGCATAACAAATTTTCCATGAAAGTAAACCACGCGTCGAGCTACAAAGTGAAAATACACACATTTCACGTTCCTCTCTGATGATATTTCCATCCTTTCTAAACTTCTGAGATAAGTGTCCCAATGATCACGTTTAATAAAAAAGTAATTGTTAAATATATCAATTGTAACAATTTCGGTGTCTCAATTATTTCAATTTTTTAACATAGGATATATTTTTAATTAATAATTTCTAACTTTATATAAAAGAGAGTTTTGTTACGTTATTTTCAATTAAGAAATATTTGGTCACACTGGGACAGTCGTTATCTTACATGAAAATCATAATATGAAGGTAAGCGCGCGCGTCAAGAATAAATGGCAAATCGCAATTTCGCAAATACAATTGCTTCTGATCTTGTTTATTCTTCCAATTCAACGATGATTCACGCGATTCGACTTAACGTTTGCCGAAGTGCATCGCGTTGTATGCCCAACAGCGGCATTATTGTTCTAACCACCAATTATGAATATTCATGGAAGGTCCGCGTGTCGTCGAGGCGGAGAGCAAACGCCGCCCGCCATTGTATGAAACTCACACAACAACACATCCGAACATGAATATGCTTATAAATTGATCTCGCCGCGTTAAGTCACAAACCCGTTTTGCAAGTCGTCATCGACGGTTTATTTTTTTTTGTTTTGTTTTGTTTTACGTTTTATTTTACCTTTCAACGCGCGATCGACGTGCAGCGCGCGCTACACAGTCCAGATAGAGATTTTCCGGTGCACATACGCGCGTCTCGTCGTAAAAAAATTCTCGCGATAACAAAAATCTCTGTAATTCCCCGCGTCAGAGAATCCTCTTCCGTGATTTCTAGATTTTATTCGGTCGTTTTAATCCGCTACCCGCGAGCGATCACGGTTTGAATATTAACTTCCTCTTCTGTAAAATAACGCTCATCGGTTCTATGTGAATTTTAGAGAATGTGCATAAACCGCATTTCCGACTATACTCTGTTGTATCGTTACATATACAATAACGCACGGAAATTAATCGGATTTGGTGTAAATAGCATTGCAAATTTGATCTACATCTTTTATTAACGTTTATGTAATATTTAAAAGTATCGATATGTCGAGGTTAGTTGTCGAAAAAATTGATATTACAGAGCTTTGTTTATTTGATATTGTCGAAAGAGAGAGAACTCTGTAACAAATAGACTGTTTCTGCGCGAGAGCTCAAAAATTCAAAACATAATTAAACTTCTGTTATTACACGCAAACTTTCCCCCGTTGCTTATCTATCTTTTATATTTTATCGACATTTTCGAAGTTGTGTAATAAACGCGTACGTACACACACACATACACGCGCGTGGTGTAAACATATTTTTTCCTCAAACACTATTTTTCGCAGAATAATATTTTTTTGCATTTATTTTTGACGTTGACGTCAAATATATATATATATATATACACAAACACACACACATATATATGTATATAAAGAGAGAGAAAGCTTGAAAAGTTGATTAAAAATACAGAGAAATTTTTTGATCAAGAGATATTAATTTTATGAAAAGCCCTTTATTGAAAAAAAAAAGCAAAAACTTTCAAAATTGATATATATTTATATATAATTGAATGATATTAAAAGCAGCTTTTATCAAACAAAATTCTCCGGTTCCGGATTTAAAAAACTTTTTCACAGAAGACACGCGCGCAAAAAAAGAACGATCATCGCGCCAAAGGAAAACTTTCGTACAAATGTACGCGTATTAAAACTTGAATATCGAATCGTTTTTTTCTTTTTTTTTTTTTTTTCTCAAACGGAACGATACAAAGGCTGCGAAACACACAGAAGAAGTGAATCGCGCAAAGACGCTTGCGGCGGAAGAGTGATAGCATCAACACTGTGTGCAACTTATTGAAATAGTTTGAAACTCGGTGTGGTTCTCCTGTAAACAGCGCATCCGAGATTAAACCGAGTGATCTCGGTTTAAACTCGCGCGCGAGACAAACGTATTATTCTGTCTCTCTCTCTCTCTATCTCTCTCTCTTACCTTTGCACGGACAAAAACCCTTGCAGGCAATGTGGACGGAGGTATGGTGAATGCAGTTGTGGTATTCGAGACGACACGGCGAGCTGTACGTGCGATTGTCGTTTCCGCAGAGGAACGTAGGCTTCACCACGGGACACTCCTGGCACCTGTAACACAGAAAACAAAACAAAACCGCGCGGTTTAAAAAAAACGCCCGACGGCTGTCGTCGACGCGCGCGTGTCTCTTCGAGGTGTACACCAGGTGCATAGTAAAAGTGAGACAAAGGACGGGTCTTGTCGAGAGTGTTCCGAGGTAATATCGAAATTCGATGCCTCGTCCCGTAAAATACCCTGTGTGTGTGTATGCGTGTTTGTGTGTGTGCGCGCGCCGCTTGTGAATTTTGTTAAACGACGTGTCACTAGATATATCGAGGACGACGGAGAACCGAGCCGTAGAGCTCGTCGTGTACCTCAATATAAGGCTCATAAAATTTCTCGTAAAAATTTATGAACTCTCTCGGGCGCGAACCATGCAAACTCGTCGCGTCGCTTCGGGGATGCATCCGGCCGCGATTGCTGGCTTTTGCAGCGCGACGTCGCGCGTGCGTTTCCCAATGATACGCGTCGTTGAAAAGGTACTGGACCTGTCTGCTGTTACCCGCGAGCAATTAGTAGTTTCAGAATTTATTTTCGCACAATAGACAAAAAAGATTTAAACGCGTTTATTGAGATCTGACAATCTCTCTTTTTTTTTTTTTTTATATTTGTCTTTGTATCGCTAACGACGTTTGACGTCTTTTGTGTCGGTAACATCAGTCACGTGCATACGACTCCAAGTGTCCTTTTGAAAAAATGCCGACTGTCTGAGTGAAAAAGCCCGCGAACGGATATCCGGAGGGAGAAAGGGAGGAAAGAAGGGATGAACGGAATTCACTTACACCGCGATTAACAGACGATGAAAGTCTGAGAAGGTATTATCGCCGAGTCCGTTAGAAGATCGAGATCAAAGGCGTTTTCAGACGAGTACTAATCGACAGGATGAGGCGGCGCTGCTTTTCCTCTCCCCTTTTCCTCTCGCTCAAGATAGTCTCGAGGCTGGAAAAGTCTCGGGGCTCGTGTAGCTGAATAATGAAAAGCCAAGGATGTGCCGGGGAGTCAATTACAGATATGGCCGGGTTTAATCTCCAGAATTGCTTGCCTGCCGTCTAAGCGCGCTATTGTACGTATTATTCTGGCCGTGCTCTCTCTCTCTCTTCCTCTCTCTCACATCGACTGACGTTTCACGGCCGCGTGCGCTCGCCTTGCCTTTGTTCCCTGCTAATTCCGATACCCGGGCGAGAGAATTTCTCGACCCCGGCGAAATCTCACCGTGTACAGGTGGATATCTCGGTGTTGGTGAATTTCTCGAAGTTGTAGAAAATGAAACGTTTTATTCTCTCCAAGAATTTCCCAAGCAACAAGAGACCGTGTTCGTACGATAATATTTCGAGCAGAGTTTTCGCGGATGTGATTCCTATATTCGTAAGAAACATTTTTATACGCGCGACACAGACGGATATTGCGATTACGCGACGAATCTCTCGATCGGGAGACGGGAATTTAAAAGCGGCTCACGCGAAATTTTTCCTTTGTGCGGCTTTTTTAAACGTACAGTTTTTTAAACGAAATTATAATTAATTCGCCGGCTGTGCTACTTTTTCCGTCCTCGATGCAAAGCCGATGGTCCCGCTCCCGAAGAAGCGAACGCGCGCGGCCAATGGGAATTTTTCGAGAAGCGGAGCTTGTAAATCGGAAACGCGTAATACGGCGGAAGCGAATAAACTGGGAAGCCACAGAGACACAACCGAGATACGATGCGAGCTAACGTAGACACGCTCTACGAGGAGAGAGGAAGAAGAGAGGGTCCGCGCTTCGCCTCGTGATAAAGGAGTTAAACCGGCTTAATTACCACGTTACTCGGTTTAAACTAATTACGCGTTTGCGCGCGACCGCAAATTCTCGAAGCAGAACGTATATACCGCGCCGCTATTGTGGTCGAATCCGCCGCGCACCGAAAGCGAGCAAGAGAGAAGCGCCTTGCGGAATCTTCGCCGGGAGGGAAGTGACTTCCGCGTTATTATAATCCGCGCTACATACATTATGCGCGCGCGATATCGATATTGTGTGTGTCTATATGTATGTATATTAATTGTTCTATAATTCAACGAGCGAAATTTTCGACACGATGTGTCGCGCGCGACCGCAGCGCGATTGTCGGCTGGCCGAGTTTTGCGGAAACGGAAATTCAGTTCATATCAAATTAATTGTGAGGTTTACGCGCGTGTATCAAAGCGTGCAGTTATCGGGGTACCTGTGTTTAAATGTCACGTTTTGCATAAAATATTATGTACAGCGACGCGGCGCAACATCCGCGACGTATGTTCGGTAGAACAAATCGGAAATCAAGAAATTTATGTAACGACAAAACAAAAAAAAAACAAAAAAAAAGGAGAATCATAAAACCGTGAAATTTTTCTTTTATCCGCTACTTTTTCTTCATCCAATGTGTTCTAATCACGTCCGGTGCTCGAGTTAATTGGCAGACCGCTGTTTACCGAGTGGAGGGGAAGCGGATATCGTTTCCCGAGGGGGAAGTTTGTTTTCCAGTCGGCGTTCTCGAGTGCGCGCTCTCGAATCAGCGAGACGTCGATGATCTCTTCCTCCCCCTATCCCGTTCTCGCGATCTCTCGCGGCGAAATATATTCACCGAACAAATTGTGTAACCGGAGAGAAGTGGCGGAAGGCGTGGCGCAAGTAGGTAGGTAATGCACATGCCAATCCGCCTTTAATCTCTCCCTCGTCTGTATATCGAGCGAAGCGCCTGTGAGAAGCCCGAAACTTTCGTCAGGTGGCACTTGAACTTTATCGTGTCTACTTTGGATGTCCAGGATAAACCATTACTCTCTCTCTTTCTCTCTTTCTCTTTCCCGGCGATACTTTCCACCGAACCCCCTAAATCCAGCAGTTGAAACAAGATCGTCGAGCTTCAACAAGCGGCGTAAAAAAGTTCTTTTGAAGAGAGAAACGGGTGTTCCTAATAAAACTTAAATATTAAAGGAGCGGAATTTCGTTTACATAATTAACTCGAACGTGTGTAAACATTAACCCGATTTCCGGCAGACTTTTTTTTTGTTAATCCACGGTTCAATAGTTAGATTGATTCTCCAATCAGGCAACTGACACAAACATAAAACATTTATTGTGAAAATTGCAACTTTGATTAAAAAATTCTATTGCTTCAAGTAGTTACTCGCAAAGTGAGCTTGACTACCGAGCGGTCCTCGGTAGTATAGTGGTTAGTATCCCCGCCTGTCACGCGGGAGACCGGGGTTCGATTCCCCGCCGGGGAGGATTGTTTTTTTTTATTTTTTTTTTATTTTTTTTTTTATTTCTTTCAAACAATGCTTTTAAAAACCGCGCACTGTTTGTCGTTTTCTGCGTGTAATTGCAACGAAATTACACACGCAAATTAAATCCATTAAATCGTATAATCCGTTAAAAACGCTACATAAATGGATACGCGACAACAATGTAGGACATTAAAAAATATACGCAATAATACGCGATGTGTTGTTTCAGCGACAATAAATAAACTAGTCGGACGGTAAAAAATCAATCTTGTAAAATTTGTTTGGAAATGCATTTTTTAGTTAGCTTTTATCATTCAATAAATTCTCTCCTCTGTTGTGCTAATATTATTTTTTCGTTATAGATATCTCCGGCATTTAATAAAAAACTAACTCGATCCGTAGTCATAAATATGTAAAATCTCTTTTGATGTATTATTAAACGTATAAACAAATGTATGAATATCGCATAATATTGTAACACGCGGTATTGACAAATTAGGAGGATACAAATTCAGAAAAAAAGTATAAATAAAAAATCTCTTATTTGTTCCATGGGTGAAGTATATTCGTCGCTGACACACACACACACACACACACACACACACACACACACGTAAGAGCGTGTTCATCTTCCTCTATTATGACGCTATTGTCGCCATTCGCAAAAAAGAGAGAGATAGAGAGAGAGAGAGAGAGACATTCTCCTTCGCGCGCTTCGATTGTCACGACGATATTGCCGCGCGCAATGCAGAGAAAACAAGCACGGATGGCGCAATGATGCGTAAGCAACGCGGAGAGGGGAAACACACGCGAAACGTGTATATTTACGCATTGAACACACGACCCTTCCATTCCGCCGCTTCCTCCTCGGTGATCTCTCCCGGTTCCGCGTTTTCGCTACGTTTCGCTCTTCGCGCGCTCTCTCGCTTATATATATACGCTCTCGAACTTTTGATTTACGCGGCCTCGATGGAATTCCATGAATGCGAAATGTAATCCTCCCTACACTCCCCTCTCTTCATACCTCTTTTTCCCGGCCAGTTACCTCGGGGCCATATCACCACTCCTCATCCAATGTGAAACTTTGCGTTTCAATCGTGCCCTACAAGTAACAAACGGCGGCAGCTGCCTACAGGAAATATATTTTCGGCGGAAGGGATGGGCGATTTATTTGGAGAGAGAGAGAGAGAGAGAGAGAGGCGGCCGGGAAGCGCATGGCGAAATGAGGATCCCCGTCGGAGTCCTTCCGTCTTGCGGAAAATCCAAGGAAATTGCTACAAAATGGAACATCAACCGACGCCAACAGTCTGTCCGAAAGAAACTGAAATTAATAATTAATTAAAAAGGCAAAATAAGCCAACGCGTAACGAGGTATTTAATAATTAACGAGAGTGCGATAAACAATTTGCCTTTTTTTTTTCGTTATTATCGACATCCGTCCGAGCCGTTAATCGGGGCTTAATTCTTTTGGTTTAAATTAAAATTATCGATCGCAGATTAGTTTTTTGAAACTCCTCTTGCATAAAGAATAATTGATACCTGCATTGGATGCCGTGCATTATTTCGTCAATAAAACTCGCGAAACGACGACACAAAGAAGGAAAAACACAAAAACGGCGCCTCTGTTAAACTGCCTGCGTGCGCAGTGATAGCGATTGCATAACAGTATTGTTGTACAATAAGCTTCCTGTCACGTGCTTTATGTGACTCAAAGCCATTTTTATATCCGCTTCGCTAAAAATTGTTTGACACTGACTGACTATTTGTTTTGTTTTTGT